TGGAGGTTCGAGTCCACCCAGAGGCACTTTAGAAGAGAGGCTTGGTGATCTACTTCAAAAAAATTCAGCTATTGAAAACCCTATAGAGCACAGTTCTGCTCTGACGCACATGGGGTCGTCATGAGTTGGAACTGACTCCACAACAACTTTTTTTTTTTTTTTTAGTATGTTCCAGCCCCTATTCTAAACACTTTATACGTATGAAGTCATTTAAACCTCACAACAGCCATAGAAGTTAGATACAGAGGCAGAGAGAGGGTAAGTGATTTTCTCAAAGCTACACAGCTAGAAAGTGTCAGAGCCAGGAATGGGAACCAGGCAGTCTGGCTCCAGAGTCTACACTTTCACCTCCCGCTCTACTGCTGCACCTAGTTCGCTGTCCCCAGGGTGCAGACCTCCGCAAGGAGGGGCCAGCCATGGAGTTAGCGGAGGGGATTCACAAACCCCATGTGTAAACACAACACTGATGAAAGACTAAACACTTAAACCCACGCTTACGACTATTTTAATAATCAACATAGCAGCCGTGAATCCATTTTTAAAAGAAATACGAAATCTTAGTAGCTGTTTATTGTTTTTTTCTCAAACAACGGATATTAGAATTACACCTTTTATGTTGCTAATTGAATTTTTTTTTCCTCTTAACCTTAGACAGGATTGTATGCTACCATTCAAAGAAACGCAGCCCAGATGCAAATTGAGAGAAGGGAATTTGCATGTTATTCTTTGGGATAATATGTCTTAACATTTGCCATGCAAAGTAGTCCTTCTTTGGAGAGTAAGGCCTTGAGTTCAGTCCTTGAGTAGAGCTTGTTGTTAGTTGCCATCAAGTCGACTTTGACTCACGGTGATCTTATGGATAACAGAATGAAACATTGCCTGGTCCTGTGCCATCCCCATGACCGTTGGTTTGTTTGGGTGCATCATTGTGGCTGTTGTGTCAGTCTGTCTCATGGAGGGTTTCCCTTGTTTTCAACGACCCTCTACTACATGATGTCCTTCTCTAGTGATTCATCTTTCCTTATGACATGTCGAAAGTAAGCGAATCAAAGTCTTACCATCCTCGCTTCTAAGGAGCATTCTGTAGAGCAACTGATGTAAAAGATGGGGTGCTGCCACCCCATCTCTGATGTTCCGCATACAGATGAGGCAGATGCCTGAATTCCCAGAGTTGAGTGGAAGAGTATGTTGATGTTGGTGAATGGGCAGGGGGTGCAATGTTTTGCAGGTTCAGAAACGTGGGAATGCTAATACACTAACATGAATTGGCTACCCAACTGGGAGAGATTTACCCACCAGATGTCATTCATTGAGCGAACATTTACAAATCACCTAGTGTATTTCAGATACTTCGTGTCCTTGCCCTTAGACTAATGCAGGAGATGAATATTTACAAAAGAAGGTGTGGGTATGCCTGCACATCACTCACTTTGTCCTTGAAAGGATGTAAGTCAGCTGATGGCCAAAATCCCAGTAGAAAGTGCTAAGTAGAGATGTCTTCCATCTAATGTAGGAGTGCAGATAAAATGATAATTCAGACAGGAGGTATTTGTGGATGGTTTCATGTTTGAGATAGACCTGAAAGGATTATGAGTGGTATAGGGGACCACCACCCATCTGTCAGTTTGTCATACTGTGGTGGCTTTAATGTTGCTATGATGCTGGAAGCTATGCCTCCAATATTTCAAATACCAGCAAGGTCACCCATGGTGGACAGTTTTCAGCAAAGCTTCCAGGCAAAGATAGACTAGGAAGAAAGGCCTGGCAATCTACTTCCAAAAAATTAACCAGTGAAAACCTTATGGGTCACAACCGAACATTGCCTGACTCACTTGCTTTGGGCACATCATCAGAAGGGATCAATTGCTGGAGGAGGACATCATGTTTGGTGAAGTAGAGCACCAACGAGGGTGTGGGAAACCCTTGGTGAGAAGGATTGGCACACTAGCCGCAGAGAGGACTCAAACATGTTGGTGATTGTGAGGATGACGTGGGGCTGGGCAACATTTCCTTCTGTTGTACATAAGGTCACTGTCATGGATTGAATTGCGTCCCCCCAAAATATACATCAACTTGGTTAGGCCATGATTCCCAGTATTGTGTGGTTGTACTCCATTTTGTAATTGTAATGTTAAAGAGGATTAGGGTGAGATTGTAACACTTCTGCTAAGGTTACATCCTCTGATCCCATGTAAAGGGATTTTCCCTGGAGTGTGGCCTGCATCACCTTTTATCTTACAAGAGATAAAAGGAAAGGGAAGCAAGCAGAGTGGGGACCTCATACCACCAAGAAAGCATGCCAGGAGCAGGGCGCATCCTTTGGACTCAGGGTTCCTGCACGGAGAAATTCCTAATCCAGGTGAAGACTGATGACAAGGACCTTCCTCCAGAGCTACAGAGAGAGAAAGCCTTCCCATGGGGCTGACAGCCTAAATTTGGAATTCTAGCCCGCTAGACTGTGAGAAAATAAATTTTGGTTTGTTAAAGCCATCCACTTGTGGTATTTCTGTTACAGCTGCACTAGATGACTAAGACAGTTGCCATAAGTTGGAGTCGACTTGATGGCACCCAACAGCAACAGGGGCAAGGGCAGTTCTTGCCAAGGGAGGGCTATGTGAGCAAGACACAGAGGTGAGAACACAAGTAGCAAAACAATATGCATTTCAATTTGGCAGGAATGAAGTATGGCTAATAGCGATTAATCTGAAGAAGTAGATTGAATAAAGCACGTGTTATACCAGTGTGCAGAATTTGACTTCCAGATATATGAAAATTACCTTACCTGTACTTCAGATGTCTACCGTAATTCAATGAAAGATCATCCCCGTTTGTCAGTTCTAAGTACATGACATACCGAAAAACAGTGTAGCACCACCTGGGGTCATTAATGATTAAGAGCCAGCTCCTCTATAGCCCACACTTCCCCCTTTGTGTCCCGTGGCATGACCATATTAAATGAGCTCTCTACCAGGGGTCACAATGTCAGCACAAGGCACACAGCATTCTAGCTAAGGGCCCCATGGCTTTCAGATCTAATTGTTTTCCACGAAGTCCCAAGCCAAGCTTGTTGCCTATGGAATTGATCGACCCTTGCACTCCCTGAACTGGTGATACGTTTTTCTGAGAGGTTCTACAAGTTCTGGATGTGAGCATATACAATGACAAAGTGGATGGTAGTATTTTTCCCATGCGTCTAATTTATGTATTTGTACTGGGGTGATGATTTAGATAGGAGCTCGATAAATTGATCAAATAAATTACACCAAACCCACACACCATCATTTCAGGGAGCTGTCAGCACACCAAGGAGGTTCTATATCACCCAGCATGGTATGCCAGGAGAACTGCTGTGTTTTCCTAACGTGCTGCTGGGCCTTCATTTGGTCAGAAAGGTCTTTATTTCTCAGACTGGCCAACAACAGGAGGATTTTAGTTCCAGGAAGCATTGCTTAGTTGTGGAAAACAGTGATTGTTAGTCACGTGGCCTTTGTAATGCTCTCTGTTTCCCTTTCTATAAAATGTGGATTCATAATTCCTGCCTCTAAAGTGTGTTGGAAAAGTAAGCAATAATAGCTTGAGATAGTGGAAAGAGTTAGACAAACGCAGATCCATATCCTAGCTCTAAAGGCAGTGGTGTTTCAGTGGCAGAATTGTTGCCTTCCATGCGGGAGACCCGGGTTCAATTCCCCGCCATTTCACCTCTAGCATGGTCACTACTTGTCTGTCAGTGGAGGCTTACGTGTTACCCTGATGCTAAACAGGTTTCAGTGGAGCTTCCAGACTAAAACAGACTAGGAAGAAAGGCCTGGTGATCTACACCCAAAAATCAGCCAGGGAAAACCCTGTGGATCATAACAGTCTGATCGGATCATGGGGATGGCGCAGGACCAGACAGTGCTTTGTTCCATTGTGCATGGGGTCGTCATGAGTCTGGGGCCAGCTGGATAGCAGCTAACAACAACAAAAACATCCTGGCTCCATCACTAGTTGTGCAAATCGCTGATCCTCTGTGAGCCTCAGTTTCTTAGTCTGTGAAGTGGTGTTGAACATAATTCTAAGAGATTGCCTTTTACAAGGGGCATGATAGTGTTGTCTAATGCAAGTCAGTTGGATTCAGCACCCTACTTGGGAGACCTGGAGACTTATTTCTGCCCATATCCCAAAGACATCTATACCCTAAGAGATTGACTTGGAGACAGACTCACCTAAAGATACTAAGGTACGTCAGAGACTGAGGCCAACATCAAAGCAGAAGCTGAGTGCTGGGGACAGAGAAGCAGTTGTTCCTCTAGATGACGTTCCTCCGGAAAGGATCCCTTTCAACATTTTTTTTAAAAAAGGTGATGTTGACATGACTCTTGTTGACATATGATAAATGTATTTTGGAGGAAACAGTGGATGCGAGAGCAAAAACAATGTGAGAAGGTGGTCAAAGAGTGGCTCTTTTTAATATGCTGTGTTCTCATCAAACAAGGCTCATTTCTTCCTCTCAGGTGTGAGAGAATTATCTCAGTCACTGCCCAGAAAGCCAGTAAATTAACATACAATGGGGAAATAATTTTAGAACTGGAATAGTTGAAGAGTAGTGTGTCAGTCAGTAAGTATGTGTTACATGAGTTAGGGGATGGATAGATGAATTGATGGATGTTTAGATGGATGGATGGATGGATGGATGGATGGATGGATGGATGGGTGGGTGGGTGGGTTTGGAATCTGGCTTTATCACAAATTAGCTGGATGACCTTGGACAAGTTAATTAACTACTCTTGGTGTCTGTTGCTTCTCAGTGAAATGGGAATAATAATAATGGCTGCATAATTGTGATAATTAAATATGTTAATTCTAGTTAAGTCATTAGGTCAGAACCTAGAAGTTTATAAAAACTCCCAATAAATGTAAGCTATTGTCGTGATCATTTACCATTATTATATCTTCTGTTAAACGCTCTCTGTTCAACAAGTCTCCTTCTATTAAGACATTTGCATTCTCTGTATTTACAGGTCAGCAGGTTCTGGGCTTGGTAGAGAACCAGAGTGACTGGTACCTTGGAAACTTGTGGAAAAATCACCGCCCTTGGCCTGCCCTTGGAAGGGGCTATAACACAGGTAAATCATGGGGGTGTCAGAGGGTGGGGTTTATAAAGGGTGATGTGAGGGCTTAATACTTCTTCCACAGCACAGGCAGAGGCAACCTGGTTGCCTGAATTCGGCAGCAGGCAGTAGGTTGGCAGTCAACCTTCCCATTCTCTCCTGGCGCAGCAGCTACAGGCAAAGTAGCTATTGAGTGTTGGCAGTCTGTGACACCTCTGCTGAACTTCAGACCTAGATCCTGTTGGACATCTTCATTAGTATTGATCTGTAGGCTCCTTAGATCCATTAATATAGGCTAGAGGTCATTCTGCAGTAACAACCCCAACATTTCAGTTTCTTAACACAATACAAATTTATTTTCTCACTCATACTGCATGTCCACTTTAGGTCAGCAGGGACCTGTGCTCACCTTAGGTGTCCAGGGTTCATCTCAATGCATAGCGCCGTGTGTGGGGAGGGACAGTAGCAGATATCATAACGTTAGCTGCCATCTAGTCAGCCCCTGACTCATGGCAAACCCATGTAAAACAGGATCAGATCAATAAGGTCCATAGGGTTTTTACTGGCTGATTTTTTGGAAGTAGATTTCCAGGCCTTTCTTCCTACTCTGTCTTAGTCTGTAAGCTCTGCTGAAATCTGTTCAGCATCATAGCGACATGCAGGCCTCCACTGACAGGTGGTTCCTTGGCTGGGAATCGAACTGGGTCTGTCACACGAAAGGTGAGAATGCTACCACTGAACCACCTCTGCCTCCCACAGATGTCATACTGGCTGTGAAAATTTCCTCTCAGAAGTGACACAATTTCTGCTGATATTTCATGAACTAAAGCAGTTTATATGGCCATGCCTACACAGGGCATGTGGGCCATGGAAACCCACCATATGCCCAAGAGGAGAAAAGGCAGGGATATTTGGTAATCAGCACTTATGAGTACACAGCCCTCAAACACCACGTCTAAAATCAGATCTATCATTCTACCTTGTCCTACTCCCAAACCTGCTTCTCCTGTGTCCTAGTTGTCTAGTGCTGCTGTAACATAAATACCACCAGTGGATGGCTTTAATAAAGAGAAATTTATTTTCTCACAATCTAGGAGGCTAAAAGTCCGAATTCCAGGTGTAAGCTCCAGGGGAAGGCTTTCTTTCCCTGTCTGCTCTGGGGGAGGTCCTTGTCATCAATTATCCCCTGGTCTATTAGCTTCCCAGCGCAGGGATCCCAAGTCCAAAGGACACACGCTTCTGGCTCTTCTTGCTTGGTGGTAATGAGATCCCCATCTCTTTGCTGGCTTTTCTCTTTTATATCTCAAAAGAGACTGACTCAAGATACAACCTAATATTGTAGATTGAGTCCGGCCTCATTAACATAACTGCCTCTAATCCTGCCTTATTAACATCATAGAAGTAGGATTTACAACACATAGGAAAATCACATCAGATGACAAAATGATGGTCCATCAGTCAGTACGGGGAATCATTACCTAGCCAAGTTGACACACATTTTTCGGGGGACACCATTCAATCCATAACATCCTGCTTTGTTTCTGTCTCCGTTATTAGTGTCATTCATTCATTCATTCAGTAATTCTTTGTTCAGCAACTGTCTCTTGAGTGCCTACTATGCTGGTACGGAATTCATCAGTGACAAACCAGGCACAGCCTATGCCTTCGTGGAGCATACAAGCAAAGCCTTTCCCTCCTTAGGCTCAGTTCCTGCCCATTTCTATCTTTGAAATGCCTCTAGATCCTTCTGTCTTCTCCTCCGTCCTTATTAACTCTGCTTTGATATCCTACTCTTAAAGGATGCAGACTCCTGATCTGTATCAACACTAGATCTTGGAGCTCAGGGAACTGTAGGGTGTGTCAGGCCAAGAAGGGCTGGGACCTGGCATCTGGGACCAGCCCGTCCTGGGTTGAGCCAGGTATCTGGGGCTGTTGCCACCTGAAGGTGATAGATGAAGCCCTGTACTATAGGCTGACAAAAATGACTTGTCCTTTCTCTGCCCCTCCCAATTTGGTACAGAACATGGAGTCAGGAGGCCAGCTTTGAAGGGCAGGAAGTGGGTGTCCTGGCCATAGTGGGAAGAGTCAGAATGTCCAGTCTGAGAGCTGAGGGGCAGACTCCAGGTCAAGTGCAAACATCAGGCTGCAGAGGCAAAATGAAAAAGGGTTAGAGTTGAGCTTTCCAGAGTGAGAGTTCAGAGATGAGGTCAGAATGGGGTCAAAGCTGGAGGAGGACAAGGAACAAAAGGTCCAGGGTCAATATCCTGAACAGGCAGAGATGGTAGTCAGGGGATGTTCCTTTGTTGACACTTGCCAGAAGCATCCAGGCACATGCCTTCTGTCTGTAATTGTTTTCCCTCCCCCCTTTAACACCTGCTAGGTATTAGAGCATGCGGAGATTGCAAATGAGGAATTTTAACCACCAGCCCAGCACTGAGGCAGAGCTGCAGCCTGGAGGCTGTCTTGCTGGGATGGGTATCAACCCTCTAGTTGCTGGATCATGGGGAAGTCCACGTAGTCCTTGGGAGGGACCAGGTCGGGGGAAGCAGGCCCAGAGCAGTAGCTCTTTATTAACCACTACAGGAGTATTTCAGCATTTTAATAGTGGGTTAGGCAATGCAGAGGCAGTAGTGGTTCAGAGGTAGAATTCTCACCTCCCATGTGGGAGACCTGGGTTCAATTCCTAGCCAACACCCCTCATGCATAGCCACCACCTGTCTGTCAGTGGAGCTTCCAGAGTAAGATGGACTAGGAAGAAAGGCCTGTCAATCTACTTCAGAAAATCAGCCAGTGAAAACCCTGTGGCTCACAAGGGAACGTGGGCCAATCCGCAGCCGATCATGGGGATGGCGCAAGACCAGGCAGCATTTCTTTCCGTTGTGCGTGGGGTCACCATGAGTTGGGGGCCCACTCGACAGCAGCTGCTAACTACAATAGCAACAAGGCAGTCGGTGCCTCTGCATACCAGCTGGGGAGGAGCAGGCATTATGCCAGGTGCTTACAGGTGTTATCCCATTTGATCCTCACATTAGCCCGTGAGGCAGGTACTGTGCTTATCTCTGTTTTATACCAGAGGATACTGAAGCTTAGAGAGTTTAAGGCTACACCCCTGATAAGTGAAGCGGCCTGTGGCATCAACTAGTACTAACCTTCCTAGCTTGAACATGAGTGGCAGGATCAAGAACAGTGTTAAAATGTAGGACTCTGCCCTGGAAGATTGTCATCGAATGGGGCCCAGAACGCTGCCCTGTAGGAAGCCTCCCAGGTGTCTTGAGCAGAGGGTTCAAGGACTTGCTGTGATCAGACAAGCTTTGCTGGCAGCTGTTTGCTCAGTGCATTTGAGGTTGAAGCCTTTATGAACCCACATTGGGCCAACCAGAGGGCTCCATTGAGCTTCCCTTTGTAAGTGGAATAATCACTCCATGTTGGTCTTTTGCATATAGATTTGTAGCCACTTGCACTCCGTGCTTTCATCAAGCTGGGGACACCCCATGTGCTGTGTGGGAGAAGGGAAACGTCAGGTGCACCCTGGTGTGTGTGTTTAGTTTCCATCTCCCACAACATTGTTGTTGAACTTGTGTGCTGTTGAGTAGATTTCGACTCATAGCGACCCCATGTGACAGAGCAGAACTGCGCCATAGAGCATTCTAGGCTGTAATCTTTATGGGAGCAGATCTCCAGGTCTTTCTCCCGCGGAGTTGCTGGTTGTGTTCGAACCTCCGACCTTTCGATTAGCAGCCAAGCACTTAACCACTGTGGCTCATTTCCCACAACATAGACTGCTAGAAAATGTCAGGTGGAGATATACTGCAGTGCCCCCAGGACGCAGTGCCATGGCCCCTCCCAGTTTGGTCCAGAATGTGGAGTCGGGAGACACACAAGACAAACCACCTCCACCTCCTACTTGATATGCCGAGGCAGTGAGTTACTTCCCCCCTTGCTGGTAATAAAAGGGCAGAGCAGATGGGAAAAAGTCCCGTTAACAGTGACGTGTCCATTTAAATAAGCCAGTGACACCAAGTGATCATTAGAAGAGGATTTATGCCACATTGAAATGCATTGGCTTTCGCGACGGGAATTGGTTATTTTAAAACTAAGGGCTGTGCCCCACATCAGTGGAGGAGCCATCCAGACATTTAGATTCTCGTGGAAAGTATGGAATCCATCGGAGCGAACCCACAGCCCTTAAATCCCAATTGATCTCAAACCTCCAAAAAGAGTTAACTCCAACAAAGACTGAGCCTTCAGTTTGATGTTGGGAAACTCAGAAAGATCCAAATTAGAATCTCAGCTCAGCCATTTAGTATCAACGAGCATGGCCAAGTCCCTTCACTTCCTGCACCTCGGTGCTCTGCCTTGTGAAATGGGGTAATAACAGCCTAATGTGTGAGGGTTCCTGAGGTAGCTTGTTTAACAAGCCCAGCCTAGTGCCTAGCACAGAAGAGATACTCAGTAAATCTCGGGCTCTTGCATTCTCCTTCCACTTCTTCTGTCAAGGGTTGGCTTGATGGTGGTATAAAGGGTGGTTGAAAGGATGTGCTAAAGTCTCCCAAACCCTTAGAACCAGAAAGTTTTTTGCTTTTCCCCAAATATAATGTAGCCATCTAGCAGTTTTTCTCCTATCTCTTTGCTGGTGTTGTTGTTAGGTGCCATTGAGTCGGCAACTCGGAGTGACCCCGTGTATAACAGAATGAAACATTGCCGGGTCCTGTCCCATCCTCACAGTCGTTGCTGTGTTTGAGCCCATTGTTGCAGCCACTGTGTCCCTGGGGAAGGACATCATGCTCGGTAAAGTAGAGGGTCAGCGACAAAAAGAAGACTCTCAACGAGATGGAGTGACACAGTGGCTGCCTATCTCTTTATTAACTAGAGAAAATTAGCTTTTCATATTATTTTAGAAAAATGACTATTTTAGTACATATATCAGTTTCCTGGCTGTTCTTTATGGAGTCTCTGGGCCATGCAAATGGTTATGTACTCAGCTACTAACCAAAAGGTTGGCAGTTTAAACCCAC